TACCTGATACGGTGTGGAAACATCGCCACTCGGGGGACAAAGGCGACCGGACATGCTGCTCGCCACCCACCTTCTTGCGCAGCGTGCTCGCTAACAACAACACTTTGCCCTGACGGTCTGTTAAGGCTATACGGGGGATCTTTGCCTCCTCCTCTTCGTGCACGCCGTGATTTATATTCGCTGTTGTGTTCAGGGCGCGGCGGCGTTCGCAGCCGGGACTCGGTAGGGTCAATGGTGCGGCCGGTGGCTCGCGCAGCCCGAGCGAGCGGTGCGATCTCGACGATAGGGAAATGTGAATAATGACGAAAATGGCCCTCCGATTTGTTTCGACGGTTTTGTCTGCGGGGCATCTGACATATATCCCCCCACCGTCTGTTTGCACATTAGGACAACAGGTCACCATATATCTGTTTAACGTTTCCGCACGTTGAATGTGGTACATGACTAAAAATAATTCACCCAAGCTACAGATTTTTTTTTATTTGACGCATATTTTTTTTCGTGCAAATATTTTACATTTCCCGCGCAGCACAGCTGTTTCGTCCTCCGATTAATAGTTTTGCTTCGTTGCTTTTGTTGTTGTCATTCTGGTGACCCAAGTCACTCTCGCAAATTTACCCTCCTCTCTCTCTCTAACCTGGCCTCTTAAGACTTCTCACCGGGTTAAACATACGGACACTTGACTTGGATTGTTACCGCGCGTTACTCACCCCAGGTGCTGGGAGATCCTTCCTAAGCTTCTGCATCTTCATCTGCCTGAGAAGCTCCCAGCACTAAAACCATGTTTTATATTACCAGGTAAAAGCCCACTGAGCTATACAGATTATTTTCAGAAGTGACATGGCCATAAATGATAGCTCAACGAAGTGGCTTATCACGTGGGAGTTTATAGCAGCAGCCGTTGATTCTAAATGTGGAGGGAAAAACTGGAGGACCGGGAGCAAAAATCCACGCAACCACGGGGAGAACATGCTCCAAATATACAGCAGCAGGCGTCAGGGCCAGGATCAAACCCACAACCTCCTGTATACCAGGCGAAGTAGTTAACATCTCGCCACCGTGGAGTGAGACGATGCACATCGTGCCGAACGACATGCGGGAATAACCAAAAATCACCACCATGGGCGAGCTGCACAGCAGCACAACTACGACAACCTTGTTCAACAATGACGATTGATTGTTCCAGTCAAGAGGGCTCGTGGTGGCTGGGGGAGGTCGGAGCGATGAGTTGACACCGCTGACATGCTGGATTGGAAGCCGGGATTTTAAGTTGCCTGTGATTACACTGGGTTATCAAAGCCGAGTGAGCTGATGATCTAAGCCTCCGGTCACCTACTGCCATACCTTGACTCGCCAGGAGACGGCGGTACAGCACAGTGCAGACTGACAACGTCCGTCCCTTTTGTATGTGATAGAGTGTTGTCCCCTCGCATGGGTGGGGTACTCCTCCAGGTGTTACGGTTTTTAACCCACAGATATTACCACTCATTAATTGGCTGAAACATCTCGATGCTTAGATGATTGCAGAGCTTGGGCAATTGTTGGTAGTGCATAGCTGCTGCTGCCTTCCCGCTCGTCTGTGGTTCCTCAGCGGTTGCGAGAAGAAGCGGCTTATCACGTGGACATTTATAGCAGCCAAATATTCGAAACGCACGTTGATTCTAAATGTGGAGGGAAAACCCGGAGGACCCGGAGAAAAAAAACGACGCGAGCACGGGGTGAGAGACACGCAAAATCCAAATATACACAGGCGTCAGGTTCGGGATCAAACCCACGATCTTCTTTCTACCAGGCGAGGTAGTTAACATCTTGCAACCGTGGAGATCATACGGAGGATGCGAGGGATGGCGGCGGTGTGCGGGGAGAGGAAATAACACGCAGCGCACGCGGGCGCCGGCACAAAGATCGTCCCACGTATGTGCAGCGGGCTACCGTGTCCACATGAGACGGCTTTGCAATCACATCCTCATTTCGATGATAATAGGGCTGGGGGGGGGGGCGTTCACACCTGCCGAGCGGTCGCCCGTCAAGCTACCAGGTGTTGGCTGAGCCTCGGTTCTCTACGCGCCCGGCGGCGTGGCAGCCTAAAGGTGTAAACGTGCGTGCGGCGCTTGATCGAGGTCGAGCTCGCGATTTTCAGATTCATTGTACAAATCAGAGATCGGAACCCAGATAAAAATGACATTTTCGGACGATGCAAAATGTGTTGTTTTTCGGTTTACGAGCAATCCGAAAACCGCAGCGTCACGTGGCCCCGGGTGACGTCGCGGATGTTTCGCACAAAGATATTTAAAATTAATGTGTGATGTTTACGATTTTGGGATATGAAAGAGATCAAAAATTGTGCTTGAAAATAAAATCCGAAATTGTTTATTCAGAAAATCATCCCTAGTACATACACGCCCCATGACTTATATATGTAATGAAATCAAAGTTTAGATTTTTCCGATTGTGTTTTTAGAATTATTGGAACGATGCGTTGGAGAGTTGCCCGTGGAAGCGACCATCACAGGGCTAGTTCTGAGTTGCCTTCAAAGTGACCCCTTGAGCCTCAACGATCTGTATGACTCATTGGGGGATGTTTGCCTTTGTATGTGTATTTGTCGATTTGTTTGCGCACACTCACCACGCGTGGGGCATAATGAATGCAACAACAACAAAAACACATTTCAGATGTCTCAATTAATATTGAGCCAATTGACTAAAAGAGTTTTCCTGTTGCATTTTGCTTGAGCAATACCAGTTCCGACCTCTATGAGACTGAATCAGCTCTGTCTATTATCACTATTATTATAATCATTGTTAATTCAGTTAGTACGACAAATAGAATTGACTCTGCCGGTATCGGTGACACTAATTTCACAATTTTAACTTTTTATTTAATTTTACCAGGTAAAGCCCTTTTTCAGAAGCGACATGGCCACAAATGATAGCTCAACATTGATTCTAAATGTGTGGGGTGGGTTGGGGGTGGGGAGAGAACCGGAGGACCCGGATAAAAAGCCACGCGACCACGGCGAGAGTGACGTGCAAAATGCCAAATATACAGCAGGCGTCAGGGTCGGGATCGAACCTACGGCCACCCGCATGCAAAACGAGGTCAACATCTCGCCACCAACATTTCACTCATGATCATCAGCTATAGCATGGGTCGTCAGGTCACGTTCAGCAAGGCGGGCAAACGAAATAACTCCCGAAGGTTCATTCCCACATCGCGCACGGCACGCAAATTAAACGAATCCGCTGCTTCCAACGTAAACATAAATGTGGCTTCAAGAACTGCGGATTTTTTTTTCGACGCCGCTGCACAAAGTGAGATAATGACAGGCGAATGAGAACAACAGTGGGGGGGGGGGGGGGGGTAACAAGAGGGCTGTTTTGCCGCGGTTGTCATTGTTCTTGTCGCATTTTGTCAAAAAGCCACGCGCGCAACAGACAACACTACAGCCCCAAAGGTCTTCATCAAGTGCGATTGCATCGCTGTTGTCGTTGCTATAAAAGCATCAATTTCGTGAGCATTTCACGGCAAAAACTGTCGGCGTCACGTCCGCACGGAACGCCGGCGATTGGCTCGTACCGGCTATTTTAAATCTACACCCATGAATTTGGCTGTTTACTGGATTGTAGCCCGGGCTTTGTTCCTGCGCCTCCGAGAGAAATGCGGGGAGCTCTTAATGTCACACTTAGCGCGTGTGCAGCCCCGTGCCTTCACGCGCTGGCTGAAAAACGCTCTCCTCTCTCTCTCATGCGCCGCAGGTTCACAAAAACAAAGATTCCCCCCCGCCCCCCTCGCCCGTAGCCTTTACACAGACTGTTGGGGCAAGTGCTGTTAGCGAATAGCACCTATGAAGGTTGGTACGGCACACAAAGGGGGGGGGGGGGGTGGTTAGACCACGGCTCGCCCGCCTCTGTCTCCCTCGTGGCAATGTTAACGACACACCAGGTAGTCGTTTGAGGCTGAGTCGACCTAGAGGAGGCAGAGGACCGGTTTAGACAATCGTCACTGGTGTTGGCCGTGAGCGGGAATCGAACACGTGCGCACACGCACACATTCTCGATGACTCAGTGCGACGGCGGGAGCAACGTTGATTTCGTTATCCCTGTAAGTGCTGCTTTCGCCGATTTCGCCTTTGTGAGCTGTGCTGCACTCTGCGAGGTCAAGCGTGCTTGCGACCCGCGCGATCGTCAGAGACGTACACACATCGAGGGTTCACGGGGGTCAGGGGCAGCGAGGAGCGGCTTGGAGGGGGGTGGGAGGAGATGAGGCTGGGGTCGTGGATGTCACCAAAATGCAGGAGACACGTGAAGGCAATAGCCACATTAAAACGGATGGATATAAAAACAAAACAAAAAACATCGAACGGCAAAGCAGGAGGGAGGTAATCTTTGGCAACCGAAGCTGGGGGATCTGGCATCTTCGACCACGCAGCACGGAGTGGATACTCATTCCAGGACAGGCGTGGGCCCGGCCACACCACCCCTCCCCCCCTTATGTGTTGTTTCGACCATCGTAGGTGCTCGTTTAAAACCGTGTGCGTTATAGCATGAGGCAGAGGTCGAAATCGGCTACCCGATACCCGTACCCTACCCGATACCCGGCTACCCGTACCCGGCCGGGTACGGGTACTCGTTTGCGACCCTGGTGCAGCCGGGTACAGGTACGTGTAGGCCGTGAGTCACTGGTGAGTAACCGTTTGTCACCAATTTCCCAACGTCTTGTCTCTTCTCACAATTCAAGTTCCTAGAATCAACCCACCCGCGTCTGCAACATGGCTTCATCCCAGAGGTCGCAATCGGGTACTCGTACCCGTACCCAGCCGGGTATCGGGTAGGGTACGGGTACCCGATTGCGACCCTGGTGCGGCCCGGGGACGGGTAAGGAATCAAAACCCGTTTGCGACCTCTGGCATGAAGTATCGCGTGTGTGCCTCCGACGTGCCACTCACGTGAGGTATGGCGGGAGGTATCGCGTGCGTGCGTGCGTCCTGCATGCCACTCACATTGATGGTCTCCCGACCGCTGTGCAGGACCCGGACCTTGGGCTGCTGGATCAATCCCAGGTTCTGCCCCGTCACCGTGAGCGGCGTCTCCCCACTGCAAGGACATCCGTCCACAGAGGGGTTGTGAATAACGTATCCCCAACGATGCGTTCACCTTCGCTATCATCATGAAGGTTCACGGTTTTTGAATAGCACCGCGGGTGTGGCCACCTTAAAACCACCACGTGCCATCCGCTTCGCAAGCAGTCGACGTTTGAGCACCTGGGGCATCAATCGCAACGGGGACGTTTGTCCTCCGCGAATGAACGAGAGTAACGGCTGTGCGACCAATCACGTGTGAGATGGGGTTTTTTTTCTTCCGAACAGCGCCCCTAGCGGATGGAAGCCCACCTGCAGATGCTCCACTCGGGGCTGACGCTCAGGATGCGGGGGTCCTCCTGGTATCGGAAGTGCAGAGCGGGGGCGAGGCAGGCGCGGTCCACGCACACCGCCACCGTCGCGTTGTGCAGCCGGCCACTGGCGCCCGACACGCACACCACCTCCGAGCGCGAGCGGCTGCGTCACACCACCGTGCCGCGCAACGCAGTGTCACGCCGCGCGCACCGTGCCGCCACCATCACGACACGCACGGCGCCACACCACACCAGACGCCCGGTGCCACACCACACCATACACACCGTGCCACACCGTGCCATCACGACACGCACCGTGCCACACCATACGCACCGTGCCACATCGTGCCATCACGACACGCCCGCGTCACACCACACCATACGCCCCGTGCCAAACCGTGCCATCACGACACGCACCGCGCCACAGCCCATGCGCCGTGCCACACCATACACACCGTGCCACACCATACCAAACGCACCGTGCAACACGCCACAAGGCACCGTGCCACACCAAACGCGCCTCCGGTTAGCACACTAGGGGCTACGTACGGTGCGAAAGAAGTTGTACACACATACAGGCACTGTGCCACACGCCACAGCATGCGACAGTACGAGTCACAGGACGAGATGCAACATGATGCAGAGCACACAAACTCTGCACATCATCATCATCATCTCTCACGCTCATTGATAAAGCCACTTGTGTCATGATCACTCATCAACCATCATCAACACTCTGACTCATTACTATTCACCATCCCCATCCTCCAATCATCGGCGGCATCATCTGACCTCTCCAGGCGGCACGGTAGATCTCCCAGTTGAACTTTGACCTCGCTGCCGGCGTCCAGGTCGTGGCCAATCAGGGTGATCCTCGTGCCGCCCGACACCGGACCCCTCGACGGTCGGAGGTCCCACACGGCCGGGCTCTGCGCGAAACCCAGGAGGGAATTGGCATCATCACACGACTGGCAGTTTTAACTCGTGACCAAACACATACGTAATACACGTGAGAGAAGAAACCTTAATTCTATATTTGAAGCTTTCGTGACTGCAAGGATTCATACTCTCGGGTTTTTTCGGTAAAGTCACGTAGGTAAAAAATATAATTAAAATTAATAAAAGTAATAATAGAAATAAAATAATATAATATAATAAAATATTTCTATTATTACTTTTATAAATTTTATTTTTTTACCTACGTAACTTTACCGAAAAAACCTTAGAGTAGAAGAAACCTTGCCATTGTCTTTATCCACAACGTATAAATATGGTCTTTATTTCACCGCACGGGTCCACACCTTCGTTTTCGCTCTCTCGCAAACGCTCCGCTCCCTCTTTTACCCTTACCCTCACCTGGCCTAACTGTCCCTCCTGACACTCACTTACTCACCCACTCACCCACCCGCTTCCTATTTTAACCTCTCCCTGGCTCCGCACCGCGTCGCACTCCATCTCCACCAATCTCCATCCTCTCTTACCCTCACCTGGCCTAAGCGTCCCACGTGACGCTCATCCACCCGTCCCCAGCTGTTTTCCCTTTCGAACGTTCCGGCCAATCCTCATGCTCCCCGTGCCCTAACCAATCAGAGCACGTGGAGTGTTTGCTGCCGCCTTCTGGATTACTTTAGTCCCAGGGATCGTGTGGGATAATCACCGGACATGTGTCTCGTTACACTCGCCACCACAAAAATAACGAAACGTCGTAGTTTTTAGTTATTTTAGTTATTTTCTTTGAACCTATCTAAAAGAATATGAATTCCTGCAGTCACGGAAGCTTTAATTCAAGATTTAGAGGAGTGTGGGGACATTGCCTAAACGTTTTCTAAAACATCGCCTTTTATATTGTTTATTTTAATGAAACCATGTTATCGGCGATTGTTACCTGTACTTGTGAACCACTGCTAATACGGAAGCATCACCAGATAAATAACATTTAATTAACCCGAGTTGCATTGTTACATTGCTCTGTTTTTCCGATTTCAATTGTCCTGTCGGTGGCATTATCATCAGATTGAGAATTAACTTGGAGCAGCGACAGTGAGTAGTGCACCACCACGTGTGTCATTGTATCTCTTCTTATGCAAGGAGCGATCACAGAACAACCGCCGAGATCTCTCCAAGTAACCTCTTATCCACACTTGTCCTGATGATGTTTGACGCAGCTTCAAACAAAACATCCCATATACAACTGCTAACTTTTGCCTGTGAGAATCGTTCTTCAACTCACTGGTGGGCAAGCTGAAACGTGCGATTTATTTGGCCCCGCCAGGCGGTGGAAGCTTCTTAACGATACCGGAGACATTTGGAACGGGTTGATCATTACGTCGCCTAACCCAAACATCCTCGACGTGAACACCCCGTAACCACGGAACGTTGGGGCCAACTCCGAGACCAACATCGGACCAACGTCGGTCCCAGCGGTTCCACCCACGTGCAAACGTTGGCCCAACGTCACGTGTTTGCCGGGCGCCGCCACCAACGATCGACGACCATTACCAAGATGCCGTAGTCGTGCCTCGACACCGCCGTGTACTCGGGGGTGCAGTCCCCCACGCACACGCGCACGGGGCCCCTCTCGGGGGTCCCCTGGGTCGCCCCCTCGATTTCGCAGACGATCCTGAGGAAGGGGCGGTGGGGGAGGGGGGGTGACAGGGAGTGGGGAGGACGTCAGAGCGTTCGGCGCGTTCACGCGCGCCGCGCGCGCCGTTATTGAGATGTCGCGGCGGGGACACGAGCGGTGCTTCTGTCTCTTCAGTCTGTCTCACTCGACGGCGCGCGCTAAAGCTTAAGGTGGGGGGCCTGGAGCGTGGAGGAGGAGGGGGGAGCTGGGGATGACGCGCGGTGCTGCGGCCGTGCCGGTGGCGAGGCGAGGACGACGCCGCCTTTGTGCGCCGCGCGATAGAGCCATCACTCCGGGCCCGCCGGATTTGCTCGGGCGGATTCACAGTTCCATGAATCACGATATAATCCTCACGTCGAGTACACGGCTCCACTCACAATGCGGAATAATGGGGAGGGGAGGGGAGGGGGGGGGGCAGGGAGGGAGGGAAAGGTTGGCCTAATTATATGTCAAGCAGCCAGTGACATTGCTGACGAGATCATTAATTATTATATATTTTTTTAATGCTTCAATGGATTCAATTTGAGTAACGTATTAAATTAATTATAATATTCCGTCGAGGGCGCCCCTCCGCCGTGGTTGTGGACCTGGTGGCGTGGGCGAGCGGGCGGGGAGGGAGGGAGGGCGATGTTGCGATGAGCTCGCCGTCACAGCGGCGACACCCGCACGGTCATGAGCGACGCGACCCCCTCCCCACTCCCCCCACTCCCCCCAATCCCCCCACCCCCTCCCAGTGCTCCCCGCCCCCCGCGTGACTTTTACCAATTCGCTCCGACCATACGGAACGTAACCCGATACGTGTACCAACATCCAGCCGTCCAGCAGTGGACAGACCATGATTGCCCATTATTACGATGACGGCAGCTGTTTTTTTTCTTCTGTTAAACGTACACACGTGGGGATGCTGGCTACGGCATTGGCAGGCAGCGGCCAAATGTACGCATGCAAGTCGGACGCGTTCACTCCTTTGGCTGACGCTCCATCACTAAGCCTCGTCCGTCAGTCAATGTCTCTTCTAGCCGAGCACCCCCGCACCCATCCACACCATCGTTCGTCATTGCCCAATGCAATGTCGATGATTTGCGTTGAGTTTGCCAATCCACGCGTCCGTCATTCTTTACCCCTAGGGGCAATGCGCGCCGTGCGTCTCTCTGCGCTCCCTTCACCGATGTGCTGTCCGCATTTGTTTGTTTGCTTATGTATGTATTTATTGTTCACTCAAATATTGTACCTGGGAGAGAAAAAATAAACCTCGCTCCCCCCCACCCTTGAGACGGAAACATCTCATTTGCAAGGTTATCCTGGGTGTCAAGTGACACGTACACAGCTACAAATTAATGGTCTCCGTGTCAAGTGAGGCGTACAATTAATGTAATTAATGAACGTTATTTCTCTTGCACAAAAAAATGCATTAAAGAAGGGAAATAGGGCCCTGGGAGCGGGAGGGGTGGGGGAATATGCCAACGTGGCGTGACCGTGAGCAGAGCATTGGACCTGCAACCCAGAGGTGTTCGCCTGTTAGAGGTCATCTCCTGGTGCGGCAGTGGAAGCAACGAATGGGTCAAGTCTCTTCAATTCCCCTTTTCCTCCATCACCACCACCCTTGATGGCCTCTGTCCGCCCAGCAGCTGCGTACAAAAAGGCCGCGCCGCAACTAAAACTGCGACGCTCATTTTTACTCCACCGGGTAAGGCCCACGGAGCTATATGCCTCTTTATAGTGGTAGGAACCCACTGGTTACACCAGCCCATAGGGGATTATTGTGTCCGTCCGTCGTGCAGGGAGGGGCTGAGTGGGGAGGGAGGGGCTGGGTGGGGAGGGTTGGGCTGGGTGGGGAGGGTGGAGAGGAGCTGTGTGGGGAGGGTGGGGAAGGGGCTGGGTGGGGAGGGTGGGGAGGGTGGGGCTGGGTGGGGGGTGGGAGGGGTGGGGCTGCGTGGAGAGGGGCTGGTCACCCCAGCTCCCTCCGCAGGAATGTGTTCGGAAGCCACCTTGGCCACAAATGCAGTGGCTTATCACGTGGAAATGTACAGCGGCCAAATACTCTAAACTAGTCTCTAATCGGCAGGTCGCGTCCAGTGGGGTAAGTTGTGGGTACTCGTCGCCGATCATGGCGACCAACCCGGCGTGAGGTCTCGTCGTGTGTCTACCCCTCTCTACCCCTCTCACCCCACTCCACAATCCCCACCAATGATAGTGCAGCTTCAGGAGTGAGGCCTCCATCCACAAGTGGATAGGTCATGGCTAATGAATATGACACTGATGAGACATAGCCGGTTGCGAGCGATCGAGCGAGCGATGTGAATTTCTCACGATCTTCCGCAAGGGCTTGAAAGAGGAAGGTTTTGTCGAAGAACGTCGCCTCGGTAGTGAGTCGATCGGCATGCCGCGTGTGTCCTGGGGTGAAGTGTGGGTACACGGCACATCCATGTCTTCCCGTGCGTCCGGGCAACGTGGAGTGGTACACCAAGCGAACAGCTGGTAGGGCTCGCTGTAGTGGAAGCCCTTCCATCAGCAGGGGGCGTGAGCGAGAAATTGCAGGGCTGCGCCTTTACCGTGCTCGCGGTGCAAATGAAGGGAAAAGACCGGCGGGTGGGCGTAATTTGTTATTGTTTAAAGGTGTCGAATAAACAAAAGAGAAAAATGACGTTCGAAAATGAGAGCGAACGCACCCATTAATAAACATCGGCGATGACAAAAAAAATGAAAGAACGAAGGATTAATGAAGGAGTAACCGTTGTTGTTTTTTTTTTTTATGGGAAACAGCCGAGCACGGCTGATGAATTATCACGACTCGGCGGCGCTCTGTCCGAAACAAATTACTCAATTAAAAAACATTGCCGAATTCGCGAAAATAAAGTGGCATTCACCACACTAAAACATAAATTAACAAAACAAGCCAACACATTACGGTAATTTAATGGACAACCGGTGACTGGTAATACTGCAAGCATAGTTTCCGTGTCAAACTTCATGAAGTTTATTTATTCATTTGTATTATTAATTTATATCACGGTTGCTGAGTGCAGGTCCAAATTGGCAAGTGGCCAGCAAAATCTGCACTATCAAAGTTGAAATAGATGAGTGAATACGGTGGGGTTTTTTAATTTCTTTAATTTAGCAAGGTTATTGAAATTTAAAATAGACGATGGGAGGAGGGAATTCCAAAGTGGAGCAGTGCGAGAGAGTAACCAGAGAGAGAAGTGAGGTGACTTCCAGGGTGGTGAGTGGGTGAGTGAGTGGGTGCATGCGTGACTGATGGGTGGGTGGATGAGTGAGTAGGTGAGTGAGTGTGCGAGTGAGCAGTTGAGTGGATTAGTCAGCGAGTGAGTAGTTGAGTGGGTGAGTCAGTGAGTGAGTAGTTGAGTGGGTGAGTTAGTAAGTCAGTAGTTGATTGGGTGAGTCAGTGGGTGAGTCAGCAGGTGAGTGCACGAGTGGGTGAGTCAGTGAATAAGTGAGTCAGTGAGTGAGTAGTTGAGTGAGTGATTCAGTGATTGAGTAGTTGAGTGGGTGAGTCAGTGTGTGAGTAGTTGAGTGGGTGAGTCAGTGAGTGAGTAGTTGGGTGGGTGAGTCAGTGGGTGAATCATCAGGTGAGTGCACGAGTGGCTGTTGTGACCTGCAGTGTGGTGGATGAACTCAGTGTGGATGAGACGGATCAGTCGATATGACAAACCTCGTCATCAACATTAGTCATTACTCTCGTCTGCCAAGGAAAGCCTCATCGAGTTTCGTGAATCTTTTTCTGGAGGATCCAGCCACATTTTACCAGTAGGGTGCGATAGCCATATGTAATCCCAATTGAGTAACGTTACATGTACTTTAGCAGTAATAACATGTCAGTAACACAAGAGATTTACAGTATGGGTGAAGGAATCAAAGAGTGAAGTTCGCGGACAAAGTGAGCACGATAGCGGCGATGCCGGTGGCTGTATTGTGCAACGTATCGGTGGGCCGAGAGTCGTAAAAATTTACCCGTAAAAACAAAGTTTTTCACTCTAAATCCTTTATATGCGTGGCGGCTAGAGTCCTCTCGTCCTCTGGCTTGATATGGCTGCCACCTATGGGTCAGATGATTGCCTGCCACTATTAAGCAATTGGTGATTAAATATAATTTATTTTTTCCTAAAAAGTGTAACATTTTGGAAAAATATGTTCACGAAAATAAATTGTCACGCACAACGAGTCTGTGTGCAAAATGTCAGCTCGATTGGATCACGGGAAGTGGGTTAAAACACGACCGAAAGATGTGCACGGTCGTAAGCACGCAAGCAAGCAAGCAAGTGAACTAAATATAAAGGATTTAAAAAGGGGAGATGACAAAGATGCAGCCCTGCAATGTCATCCTCACTAGTGTCGAGACAGCGCCCCTGTAGGGGGTAATTTGGTCTACTCATCCACAACAACAGAACGCGTAGCGGGGAGGGGCGCGAACTGCCGGTCGACGAACCGTGCTGCTGCTGCTGCTGGATTAAAGAGAGGGGGGAAGAGGTTGTGGTGTGGAGGAGTGTATTTAAGAAACTCGCGCCGTCATTACAACTGTCGCGACAAGACGTGGAATCGAACCGGTGACCCCTGGACTGCTAGTCCAGCACGCTGTTTTGCGATGGTGATTTGATTGTTTTTGTATAGATTCATTAATTGCTTTGAGACTATGATACCTTCCTTGTGGGAGATGTGGGGGTGGTGGGGATGGTGGTGGGGGTTCAAGTTCAGCATCGAGGATCATGCTGCTGAAATGTTTGAGGTACAAGGGGATTGTATCAAAGCGGGCGGCAGTATTGGGGGGGGGGGGGTGCGGAAGGGGTGGGGAGGGGGTCACATTTGAGGGGCGGGGTAGAGGGGGGGGGAGTGCGGCAACGACCGTGGAAGGGTTTATACTGCTCCGATTGGGGGGGGGGGCAGCAGCAGTGGGGGCCACACTGCTCAGATTGTGTGGGCGGGGAGGGGGGTAGCATTACCTCTGTCATCGTGGGGAGATTGGAGCCAGCATAGAAGGTGGCTAAATTGCTCGAGATTTGGGGACGGTATTTTTAGCAACGGAGGGGGGGGGGGGGCGAGAAGGAGGAGGGAGGGGCTCCGATTAAGGTGGGGCGAGGAGGGGGGGCGAGCAGGGGGGACGAGGGGGGGGGGCGAGGAGGAGGAGGGGGGCGTGTGGGAGGACTCCGGTTAAGGAGGGAGAGGGGCGAGGAGGGGGGGGGGGGCGAGGAGGGGAGGGGTGTTGGAAGGCTCCGGCTAAGGAGGGGGGAACGAGAGGGGGGGCGAGGAGGGGGGGGGGGTGTAGGGCTCCGATTAAGGAGGGAGGGGGTTGGGGGTTGGGCGGTGGGGGTGTTGGGCTGTGGTGGGGGTGTTGGGCTGTGGTGGGGGTGTTGGGTTGTGGTGGGGGTGCCGTACTGCTCAGACGGGACGTATCCCTCCGGCAGCGCGTGGCACGGCGTCCCGGCCACCGTCACGCCAGCGCTGACCTCCCCGAACGCCAGGCCCAGGTTCTCTCCGCGGATGGTGAGACGCGTGCCGCCCTCCCTGGGGCCCGAGCTTGGATAGAACTGCAAAACAAAGCAAAGATTCCTCGCGTGGCCTTAACCAACTTGGGGCAAGTGCTGTTCCGCGAGCGGCACGGCATATGAGGGGGTGGGTGGGTGGGTTGGCCAGCACCACACCGGGCGGCAATGTTTACACGCCGCACCAGGTGCCCATCTGAGGCTGAGCCGACTTAGGGGAGGCCCGTAAACGGTTTCGAATAGATAATTATAATCAACACAGGCGTTGGCCGTGAGTGGGGAATCGCATTCGGGTCGCCGGGTTCGTAGCGCGGCAAGCTCAGCGCTGCACTCCGCCCGCACGCGCACGAGCCCAGGCGCAGAGCGGTGGGCAGGAGTGGGGGGGGGGATGCGGCGATGTGCGGTGATGCACGCACGCGGAACTTCTTTCGCACCGTACGTAGCCAACCGTGCTCATCGGAGGTGCGACGTGTGGCAAGGAGCGGCGGTTTGCGGGGGCGGTGAGAAGCGGTGAGGTGAGACGCGATGATGTGCCGTGCTGGTGTCGGAGAGGAGTGAGGTGTGTCCCGTGATGCAGTGTGGGGGGAGGGGGGGGGTGAAACACAGCGAGGGGCAAGGCGGGGGGTGCGTGTGGGTGTTAGCCAGTGAAAGCGCGGACGAAGGTGAGTGAGCGAGCGAGTGAGCGAGCAGCCAGAGTGGCTGTAATGAAAATTGATTTTGCGACTGCGGATTGGGGCACGAGGCCAGGGATAAGCCCTCGCGTGCGCGGCCCGGCCATTGTGGGGAAATAAATAAATAATTGCTGCGGACGCTAAAGGTGCAGCCCTGCAATTGCCTACTCGCGGGACCGCTGCTCAAGGACCCCCACCCCCCCCTATACTGAGAGAGAGATGTAGAGAGTCCGTCTAGAGGTTCTTTTGAGCGACTTGTCCACGTTGACCTGAAACCCCTCGGCTCAAGGTGGGCGCTACCCACACTTGACCCCACCGCGCGCGAGCTGCCGGCCAGTCGACTGCCTGTGGTGAGCCCATCCACGCCGCTGGGTTGGACAGGGGCAGTGTGGAGGGGGGAAATTTAAGAAACTCGACACCGTTGGTAGATGGAACCGGCGACATATGGGTTGCAAGTTCAGCGCGATGACCATTAAAACCCGCACTGCGGCAGCACCGCGATTTATGTATGAAAAAAAGCTAAATACACGTGCTGTATTCACACTGAAGGGGGAATATTTGCATCGGTGATTATATCCATGTAGCTATGTAGCTGTAAAGGTCACGGCGGATGAACAAAATGTTCCGCACACTTCAGAACGGCGCCGGCGCGTTTACATTTTGCACCGTCATGAAGTAACTCTAACTGGGGGGGGGGGGGGGGGGGGTGCCAGTGTGGGGGCCAGCGGTGGGGAGAGGGGGAGAGAAGGGCGAGGTAGCTGGCTCTGGAGGAGGGAGATAGCGTGGCGCATGCCACGTTCGATGGACAACAATGACAACGTGCAGATCGTTTCGTCCGCGTCCTTCACTTCACTCCGTCTCGTTGACCAGCCGAGTGTCTCACCCCCCCCCACCTCTCTCTCTGGACATCTGTGAAAAAAGAGCTTCATAGCTCATCGGATTCCTCCGGTGTAAAGAAAGGTTCTGATTCCCTGTGTGGATTTCACGCCGATATTTTCGCAGTTTTGCCGACCAACGCGGTTCAACGAATATCCGCACGCTCTCAGTCGTTAAATGTTGCTGCGAGCGGGTGCGTAGTTCCACCACTCTCCATCCAATATTGCCAAACTACCTGCTGGTGGTGGTGGTGATGCCGCTGTTGCCGTATTGGCAGTGGCGCACAAACACAGCCAACAACTCAACACGTTGGTCAATGACAACTGTGTGCCCTTAAAAAATAAATAGTTATAAAAGTCGATTTGCCAGGCAATGTCCCTCCACTTCTCTCGCCTCCATCTCTCTCTGGCCTCTCTGGTGTGCTCTGAAGAAGGACCATTGCCTGAAACGTCAACATTTTTGTTGTTTTGCTTTTGAAGGCCGCACGGTGTTATTGACGTATGTGTTGTTCAGTTGCGATTTTTTTTCTCTTTTCAAATAATATGATATCGGCCGATCAGTGACCTCGGCAAATATCTGCGTATGCCCATGTAGCCAGTTGCCTATGCGTGATCTTCCTCGATGCACTGCCATCGGTTATGTGAAAAAAAATCGATTCTTTACTAAGTTTCATCTCCAGTCTGCGACTTCATTCCGACTGTGGTCTTTGGTGGCTGTGCAAGCAGCGTGGTTGCCATCGTCACGCCCTGACGATGTTTTCCTCCGCTCGTAGTTTCAGTCGTTTGGCTAAAAACCAAATAACAAAATCAATGTAATCACCTTCCGACGGCTGTTCTCGGTCACTAATTCCGCAAACGAAATGATCACTGGAGGCCAGGCGCTCCCTCTCCGTTCGATTCATCAGGGCGGCGCATGAACGAAGGAGCCAAAACTCAGCGCTGCTGCGCAAAATAAATTAACACGACGCTGGCAAGTCATTTAATTGTGATAAATTAAGACAAATGTGTTTTGCTGGCTGCCTGCATTGTTTGGTGGGTTTTTGTCAATGCCAGCCACTTCCTTTTTTCCCAATTAAAAAAAAAATTCTCCCAAATTACACTATCGTTGATAAATGAACAATGTGTCTACTCCATGCTGACACGCCTTTGAGTAATGGCCAACTTCGGCTAGTTCATCACAACTTCGCCGCGTGGTCGTACCGTACGGTAAAAATTAACTAAGCAATTGCTCCAAAAATCCCGTCGGCAATAACGGAGAAATTCAGGCGGCGGTTGGCAATGGCCAAAAGCAAACGAAGCAAAAGCACAGGGCCCCAAGTAGCTCAGGCGATCTCCTAATTCGCTAAATATCATCTGAAATCAAAATCTTTATAATAACAAACAAAATAACTCTCAAGTTTAATGACACAATTCAAACGATCTTAATTGCAATTCGTGTATTAGCTCAATTATCTCACACGACTGTGATATCATTCAGTCGCGGAAGCTTGGTCGGTAAGATACGTGACGCACACCCGAAAAATATTTCTGCTTTGGGCACTGAAAGGGCTGGCACATCCAGCACATTAAAACTTGGCCTTTTCCCTCTACCCCTGGTTCTACCATTTAACTGCACCCCCACCACCGACCAACCATAATTATTCTTCTTATTATTATTCAGAAACAGTGGCATATCTGGCCAAGTGTGCAGACAGTGCAACTGCACCGGGGTGCCCACGATGATGGAGAGGGCTCAGGCACTGGCTTACAAAGGGGGGGGGGGGGGTGGTGGGGGGCAAATGGATATGGGAGCCCTCGTTTAATTTCTTACACCGGGTATGGTTGCCAATTCGGAGGGCACAAAGAAAATCCGGGACTTAGGATGGGAATACAGGAGGACGGAACTATGTTATCGAGATTTATTATAGCGCTTTACAGGCAATTATACAATTGTACATAGGTTGATGATGGTTCGAGATGAAGAATGGGGTTACTATTAAAGGTGGGGCTGTAGTTGCAGTGACAGTAGAGCAGGCGGCGGTGTTACGGAGGGCTTGGAGTAGGTAGTTTGGAGGGGGGGGGTGGGAGAAGGGAAGCTGGCGGACCAATAAGTATTGAGGAATCGCATTGGGAGGACAAAGGGGGTCGGCCAGGGGCGGGAGCCGGGCGGTGGAAGGTGGCCGCTACATTTAAATACATGGTCTCGAACTGCGTATATTACTGTTCGTTTAACACGGAGGCTTTCGCGACCAATATTATTCATAATTAAGCTTTTTGGGTTAGATCTCGTAAGTATAAATGTGTCGTAACCCTCCACCACCCGACACAGCCAATGAATATATTACTGTTATTCTTACTATTTTACAACTGGCAATAACTGAACATCTGTGAAAAAGAGCTTGAAAACTGATCTTATTCCTCCAGTTTAAAGGAAATATTCGGATTCTGAAAATGCCCCAAGAAGACTCACGGATTCCCCAGGACAGCAGCAACCTCCTCGACAAAGAGGACGATCCTGGGAAAACCAGGACAAGTGGAAGACTCGGTCGGTACCCACGTGAGCCCCATGCACACGTGGGCCCCATGCCCACCACGCGCTCCGTCGTGGCACCGCTGTTCAAGCGACGGAAGATGAACGCGCGGCCCGGCGCTCGGGAGTTTAATCTCACTTAACTCCGCGAGCATTTCCTCGTTAATAAAGCACGCTTACAATTACGGGAAAGGCAATTATTAAGTCGTTAATGTCCAATGAGTTTTTACTAACGCCGATGATTATTTACAGCGACTAAGCCGCTCCGCTCGACGCCGTCCCGTACGGCAGCGCGCGCTCGCCGTTTACGTCGAGGGCGCGCGGGTCTTCATTCGCACGCGCGGGCGGGCGGGCGAGTGAGTGAGATTCTCTCTCTTTCTGTCTTTCTCTCCCTTGGCGCCACTCTCCACTTCGCGTCGTCAAGCCTCGCCCGTGCACGCCAAACGCCCGCGCGGGTACCCTGCGCGAGTCCCTAAGCGGGCACCTACGCGGCAGGGGGAGTGTGCGAAGGCGATCCCGAATTTGTCGCGAAGAGCTGCCGCCGCCCTTCCTTCTGCCTTAAGCGCTTCAGGCGTTTCCTCCGGCTCATTTAGCAAAGTTCATTTATGTTGGGCCTGTCATCGTCGTCGTCATCAGCATCATCAGCCTCGATATATGCACTGATGGATGAAGGCTTCCCCCAAAGTCACCCTTATCAGGGTTCCAAGATGCGAGGACAGATTTCATCACTCCATCTCTGTAGATGTGTCCCAGATCTGGACGAGATGGGGGTGGGTGGGGTGGGGGCGCTTTTTTGCGTGTTTACCAGTTGGCCCGGATTTGCATTGCTTGGATGGAAATAAAATGAGCTGAAACGAATCATGGGGGGCAGAAAGTGCCGCCGTAAACCTTATTAGCGGCACCGACTCCCAAAGCAACAACTATGTGTTGATCGCTCCTGTAATTATTTCTGAGATGCTGCGTCTCGTTAAATCGGGAGGTCTACTTTAACCCCTCCCCCCCATCATCCCCTCGATGGTATCGGAAGTTCCTTTCCGTTTGAAAGTTGGTAAATCGTGGGGCAATTGTCAAACTTGGCAAGATTTGCACGTGACGTCGCCGTTCGTATTTCCAATTTAAAATATTATTGTGCCGCCTTTTTACGATGACGATCAGTATCGTTGTGGTGGGGATCGATGCCACAGTGCTGTAGAGGGTTTTATATAAATCAGCGTACGAGACTTGGCAATCCAGATTCGATCTCCCGGTGCGGCAGTCGAAACAACGGTGCGAGTTTCTTAAGACCCTCTCCTCCATCACCCACCACCGTCGCGTGTGATGGTGGAAAGCGTCGGGAGTCCGACCTCTTTTCTGGCCAGTGTGGAAGAGTAGGCCAAAGCCTTTCGAGATGGCAGGACTTTTTAGTATTTCCCCAAGTGGAGCAATTTCTTCTTCTACCGGGAGGGCTGTGAAAAACGATTGCATGGCTGCACCTTTACCTCTTACGAATGAATGAAAGAGAATGCGGCTAACATCAGTGGGCACGTGACAATATTAACGCAGTCCTGCCCCCCCCCACCACCACCACGTCACTAACCCGCACTGATCAACGTGGTGAGGTGGTGAGGTATGGTCAAACCCCTCCCCCCTCGCCTCCGCCGCCCATGACTGACGCGGCATTAGAAGTCCTTGGGCATCGACTAGAGAAGAGCCCTCTTACATTCTCCCTCCCCTCGCCACCCACGCAACCCCCCGCCCCCCCCCCCCCTGACGAGATGTGACAGAGCCCATTTTCCCTCCCATTTAACCGCGTAATTTTGCACGTTTTCGCCGCTTATGCGCAAATGGAGCGGCGTCGGGGGAGTCGGCGCAAGTCGACGTGAATAACGCAATGATCAACACTTCGCGCGGGGAAAATGACGCATCTGGCAATGCTTAAGCGAGCCCGTAGCGCGCGGTCCGACGAGATGTTAACTCCCTCGCTTGGTATACAGGAGGTCACGTGGGTTCAATCCCGATATTTGGTGGTTGCGCGTCTCTCTCTCTCTCTCTTCCCGTGGTCCTCGTAGATTTTTCTCCGTGTCCCCCCCGGGTTTTCCCTCCACGCGCGTTCAGAGTGTTTTGGCCTGCTCTGAATTTCCACACGATGATGAGCCACTTCTCGTTAGGCTATCGTTTCTGAGAGCCTGGTCTCTTCTGAAATAAAAAAAGAGCAGGGGCCTTACCTGGTCAAATAAAAAAGAGTTTCTAGTTTTAGTTCCCATCGCCAGTGCCCCGTCGTCCGAGGCGGGTTAGAGGCGAGGCTAAACGAGTCCCCCTGCAAAAGCCCCATCGAAGGCGTTTAACGGAACAGAGGGGCCCTCTCTGTAAATAATTGCCAACGGGCAAGCGGAGGAGGCCTCTAACGAGAGAGGCGGACAATAACGAGAGGTAAGTGGCTGGGGGTGGCGGGCGGGGGGAAAGGGTCAGAAGACAAGAATTAACTGCCGGTGATAATTGTTCTTCAGTCGTTATCGGATCGGTTCAGAATGATCGTCGTGGCTTTTGTATCGCTTTTTTCTTTGCTTCCCCCCCCACACCCCCCCCCCCACCACGAAGCGTTAGCAAAGCGGTGGTGGTAATTATTGCGGTGCCATTTACCACTCGACAAACCACCACTCCTCCCTCCCAACTCCCCTCCAGCACACACTTTCAGAAATAACTAATCCTACGCAAAAACTACACGCCAAGCTTAACGGGGGGGGGGGGGGGGGGGGTTAGAACCCCCCCACTGCGCCCCCCCCCCCCGCGTCTCCCTTATCGCCCCCCTCCCCCCCGCCCCACCAAATGGGATTCAATAATAAATATTTAATTGATAAAAAATAGAAAGGAATTTAGGACATCACTTGATTCAATTACACCCCGCGGTGATGTATGAGGCTATTAAGCGAGTGTGGCATTTGCGCTCGGCTTCTTATTAAAATGTGACACAATAAGACAGAGACCGCCGTACTTAGGCAAATGTGAGGGAACCAGAGCATCAGGCAAACGCCCCGCGTGAGCGAATTGAAAATGCCGCCTTAAGTGAGGCTTCAATTAATTTACTGTAAAAACATTATTTGTATATAAAAATAATAATATTACACAATTATATATATTGCTGACGCAGTAAAAAAGGACTCACCGAGTCTGGTATTTCATGTTCATTTATTCGCTTCCTCCCCAAGCACGGGTCCTGCTACATTGGGATTTTTAGCCGGTTAACAATTTGAAACAAGTGAGTGGGAACCAACCGCAGAACCCGGTGATAACCCACCAGGCACGGCCAGCAGATAGCACTCAAAGGGCCACTGCACAGAAGAGATATCACCAACCTACTTGCTGTACTTACTGCCTCTTTCCGGGGCCACCTCCCCTCGCTTTGCAGCCGGTTTGGGAAAATCGCAATTCTCAAAATCTCTGCGTGAGCCACCAATCTTCGCTTGGCAAGCGCTTGATCAAAGGTGCATGTAGCCACCACCACATATGGTCGTGTGAGCGTGTTTCAAGGGTAAAGAGAATATAATATAAGAATATTGAAATAAAATATATATTTGTCCTTAACCCATGATGCCCCACGGCAACAGCATAATGGGTTTGTGTATGGCGTTGCTTCTCGTGTTAAACGGGGTTCCATATTCTAAATGGAGTGCCATTACCAACGACAGCTGCTCATACAGCAGTATTTGTTTTAACAAGCCTGACTTTGCTGATGAGACCCAGGATGGTTAAAACTTGTCCAGAGTTTGTGTGGTTAAAAACATTCTGCTGGATGATGTATGCATGTAAGTTGAACTTCTTTCGCACCGTATGTAGCCAACCACCCGAATAGGAGGTGCGAAATATAATTTTGAGAGAGCCAATGGGTCGATAGACGAACACAATGTTAATTATTTACATGTGAAGACAAATAACAAAGTTGTGGTTCTATTTGTTGTTGAAAAGGGGAGTATACAAACACTCTGGGGAGAGGGGCATGACAGTCAACGTCAAACAAACTTTCATCAAATGTTCAACTCAAGACAGAACGAGTAACGGTAGAATGTTCACTGAGATAAAACATTCCACCAATGTTTTTTTAACTTAGAATTCACGAGAAGGGCCTGAGTCGCCCCCCTCCCTCACCCCCCATTCCAGCCCCCCCCCCCCCCCCCCCCGTCGACCCCTTACCCAATGAGCCCCACGTGGCGCTGGGCTGGGAAATCCACCAGTAGGGGGCCCGGCTTTTCTCGGGTCTCAACGTGGGTTATTGCGGCTCAGAAGGGAAGGCAATGGAGTGCGTTTCGCAAGCTACTTAACGGCGCGGCTCATAGTCGGTAAGCTGCCTTTAGACGGAAACCGTAGGGCTCACCGCAACAACTCACACTAATCCCAGCGGCAGGAATCCGCCGCTCACTAATACGCGCGCGCCTGATTGCTTGCTCGCCCCCTTGCCCGCTCGCCCTATTGGCGTGTATTTACAGACTAGACAGAGATGCGTCGTTAGATTAAAGCTGCGGCAGAGGATTTCACGAACGGGCGACGGAAAACGAAAGAAAAAAAACACTACGGGCGTGAAGTTTCACTGAGGGTGGCACAAGCGGCCGCGCGGCAGTCTGCGGCGGTCTGTTGCGCATGAGTCCTGCGACCTGAGTTGAGCAATGCTCTGAGAAGCCACGAATGTGTCTTCATCTGGCCCTACGAGAGTTATCGAATCACTATATGTGTGTGTGCATTGCCCCAACCCACGTGGGTGTGGAAAGCGGTAGCGTGGCGGTTTAGCGCGCTGCGCTACGAGTTTGATTCCTGCTCACGGCCAACACCTGTGACGATTATCTGAACCGGTTCTGGGCCTCCACCCTAGGTCGAGTCAGCCTAAAATGAGTACCTAGTGTGGTGTGTAAAACATCGCCACTGGGGAGACAAAGGCGGTCGGGTGTGGTGTTCGCCACCCACCCGCCTGTGTCCCGCTTACAGCACTTGCCTCAAAAGTCTATTCAATCTATACGGGCATCTTTGTATTTGTATGAGCGAATACACGCGCAGCTGTGGGCGCGGCGAGCGGCGCGCTGTGCCACGAACCTGGCGACCCGCCTTCATATCTTGGCCACGGCTAACATCAGTGGCGAGCGAGAGATAAGTCGGTAGTGGGCCCACGTATTCGGCAACCTGCGCTGACCGGCGTGCTGAATCGTGGTCAAAATATCAACCCACGGTCGACCAACAAGAGAATTGAATGAAACTGGCTGTACATGCATTGTTTGGTATTACGAGTGAAAAAAATACGGAAAAAATATGAAAAATCATACAAATAAAAAAGGCACAACGAGGAAATAATCAGAGCGGGCGACATCGCCGACTGAGCGCACCTGGGAGATGCGCGGGTTGGGACAGCGAGTCGGAGCTGCTCCCTCCTCCTCATCCTCCTCCTCTCCCCGCTGAAGCCAGCGGTCGTTTGGGCAATCCTGCTTCAGGGTGCACCGCCCGCCACCGCCACCGCTGTTCCCAGCAGCCGCGCCGCCAGCGGCAGCAGCAGCAGCGCGGCCACCGCCGCACCAGCCACACTCGAACCGCTTGTCGGCACTCAGGCAGCGACCGCACGTGTCGCGCGATGCCCAGCACTTGTAGAGCGAGACTGCGAGCGTCGATCGTCACACCATCAGCGTCATCATCTTCACCATCATCGTCGCCATCATCATTGTCATCATCATCGTCATCACTATCATCATCTACATAATCATCATCATCATCATTGTCACTATCATTACCATCATTGTCACCATCATCATCACCATTATCACCATCATCATCATCACCATCGAGGGCTTCTCCATGCCGAGCACAGTCCAAGACCTTCGTCAGCCTCAACAGCGGCCGCGTGTCCCACGTCAAATCGTGGCCTTTCCTGAGCGTTGGCTCCACCGTGCCACCCCATTAAACAAATAAACTTGAACTTTGGGGGGAATAAAGTGGACATGGAACCCTTGATGAATTCCTTGAACCAGAGCCCGTGCGCCGACCACGCGACGCCACCGCAGACCCGGCCCCTAGCCGAGTTCAACTCCCATCACGGGACAAAACCACGCTACGGCACGCACGCACGCTCGCTCGCTCCCTGCTTACTCGTGATGTTGGCCGGGTTGTCGATGGTGAAGCCTCCGTTCCACGTGATGGAGAACTCCACCGTCAGGTTGCTGAAGTCGCCGTCGTAGTTGTACTGCGCAGGGGGTGGGAGCGGAGGGGAGGCGATCGCGGTGTCAAGCTTCACGTTTGAAGTATTATATTTTTTATTTTGACCAGGTAAGGCCCACTGAGCTATATAGCTCTTTTTCAGAAGCGACCTGGCAACAAATGATAGCTCACCAAAGTGGCTTATCATGTGGAAATGTATAGCAGCCAAAAACTCTAAACGCGTGTTTCTAAATGTGGAGAGAAAAACCGGAGGACCCGGAGAAAAATCCACGCGGCCATGGGGAGAACATGCAAACTCAAAATATACAGCGGACGTCATGGTCGGGATTGAATTCACTACCTCCTGTATACCAGGCGAGGTAGTTAACATCTCGCCACCGGCTGAAAAATCAAGAGACCAGGATGAGTCGTTTGCAAGAGTGACCAGGCTGCATTAGTTTCTCCGGTAGGGGCAATTTGTGGTGTAGTTTTCGAATTTGGCAAATGTGGATGCTGGACATTGAGCGCACTATAGCCGACACGGGATCTTTAACGTCCACTGTGAGTGGAGCAGATAGGGCGTGGTATTGATGAGGTTATTATTCCACACCGCAGTATTAATCAGGGCGGCCCGCTGGATTAGAACTGTGAACCTCTGCAACAGGCGGCGAACGCGAATCCGCTGGGCCGCGATGCCGCTCCGCCTGGCCACACCAGCGCCAGCGATCGGTGTGGAAATAAAAGCAAAGCAATGGAAGGAAAAAGCACGCTTGCGCACGGATTCGGTTACAGTTCCCAATGTTGTGTTTGTCTTCCAAAGTATTTAACGGGCACGACGGAGGCTGATAGGTAGCACATTTGAGAGGAATGGCAAGAGACGGTGAGGTGGGGCGAAGGATGGTGAGGTGGGGTGAAGGATGGTGAGGTGGGGTCAAGGATGGTGAGGGGCGGAGAGGTGGAAACGAACAGTGAGTGGTGATGGTGAGGTCTGGTGAGTGGTGATGGTGAGGTCTGGTGAGTGGTGATGGTGAGGTCTGGTGAGTGGTGATGGTGAGGTCTGGTGAGTGGTGATGGTGAGGTCTGGTGAGTGGTGATGGTGAGGTCTGGTGAGTGGTGAGGTCTGGTGAGTGGTGATGGTGAGGTCTGGTGAGTGGTAATGGTGAGGTCTGGTGAGTGGTGATGGTGAGGTCTGGTGAGTGGTGATGGTGAGGTCTGGTGAGTGGTGATGGTGAGGTCTTGTGAGTGGTAATGGTGAGGTTTGGTGAGTGGTGATGGTGAGGTCTGGTGAGTAGTGATGGTGAGGTCTGGTGAGTGGTGATGGTGAGGTCTGGTGAGTGGTGATGGTGAGGTCTGGTGAGTGGTGATGGTGAGGTCTGGTGAGTGGTGATGGTGAGGTCTGGTGAGTGGTGATGGTGAGGTCTCGTGAGTGGTGATGGTGAGGTCTGGTGAGTGGTGATGGTGAGGTCTGGTGAGTGGTGATGTCTGGTGAGTGGTGAGGTCTGGTGAGTGGTGATGGTGAGGTCTTGTGAGTGGTGATGGTGAGGTCTGGTGAGTGGTGAGGTCTGGTGAGTGGTGACGGCGAGGTCTGATGGTGAGATGCAATGAGGGCTAAGAGTGAGCGATAACGGTGAGTGACGGGTGAGTGAGGCTCGGGATGCATGTGAAGCGTCTCTCGGGTAAGTGAGGCTCAGGTGAGTGAGCCTCGGCTGAGTGAGCCTCGGGTGAGTGAGGCTCAGGTGAGTGAGCCTCGGTCGAGAGAGGCGTGGGTCGCCTCGGCTCACCGTGGCGTCCTGGCACTGCACGCTGGAGCTGTTGAAGCGCAGCGCGGCCACCCTGAGCGTGACTCCCTGCACGCGCAGGGCGCACGAGTAGGCGCGCTGCCCCGACTGAGGCTGCGGGAGGTTGCGGGCCCCGATGGCGACTCGGCGCTCCCTGCCCGCGGGCAGCAGCAGCTCCGAGCCGCCCGGTGCTGCCACCAGCTGGGGGCACAGCTGGGGAGGGGGGAGGGGGGAAGCGAGGGGTGAGGAGGAGTGTTGGGATTTGGTGAGCGGCGGGGAGAGGGAGTGAGGTGTAGCGAGGTGGGGTGGGGACGGTGTGTTGAGGTGCATGGGGGGTGAGGGATTGTGATGGAGAGTGAAGTGGTCAGGTGAGGGATTGTGAGGGAGAGTCAGGTGGTCAGGTGAGGGATTGTGAATCGTGGGGTGAGGAGAAGAGAGTGGAGCGGGGGGTTGAGAGGTCAGGTGCAGGGTGGTGAGATGCGGGATGATGAGAGGTGCTAAGGGGGTTGGGGGGTAAAGCGGTGAGCTGAGGTGGTGGTGGGTGACGAGGAGACGTGGAGAGCAGTGGTCATATTGGATGAGGAGGGGAGAGGGTTGGAGTGGTGAGATGGGGGGTGAGGAGTTGTGAGGGGCAGCGAGGTGACCATGTGAGGGATTGTGAATCGTGGGGGTTGTTGGGTGAGGTGCAGCGAGACGCGGTCAGGAGGGCGAGGAGCGGTGAGGGTCTGAGGGCAGGGGTGTTGAGGGGCAGTGAGAGATGGTGAGTGGTAGGGAGGTGGGTGAGGGGGATGAGGTGTCGTGAGGAATGGTGAGTTACGGGTGACGAAGGGGGTTGTTGAGTCGGAGTGCGCTGCAGTGAGGAAGTGAGGTGAGGTCACGGTGAGGTGCAGTGACGAATGGTGGTGAGTCCTTTAAGCGATTAGTAAGTGGTGGTGAGGAGCTCGGTGGGTAAGCAGAGTTGCCATGTGACACGGTGAGGTGGAGCGAATTGCCTTGAGGAGTGGTGAGGAGTCGTACATCGCAAGACGTGAGGAGGTAGAATGAGGAATGGGTGAGGAATGGAGAGGAGAGGTGAGCAGTGGCGTAGTAACGACATTACCAGTGGCGTAGAAACTACATTACCAGTGATATAGTAACTACATCTTTAGTGATATAGTAACGACGTTATCAGCTCAGCGGGGGTGCGGCCAATCGGTCAGCTGTGGCCCCAATATTTGATTTGTCTCGCACGGTAGCACATGGGCTGTTAAATATCGCGGCTCATCTTGTGCTCATCAAGCCACCGAGCATTTTAAAACAAAATTAAACCGTTTTTTAAATAGGCTGTTGTTTTTCTTGGTTCTTTCGATAAAGTCACGTAGAAGGGAAATAACAAAATAATAAAAATAAAACATAATAAAATAATTCTCACGACGTTTCGGCCACAACGCAAGCAGCCGTCCAGGTCTGTCGGAAAGACAGCGTCTGACTTTACCGAAAGAACCAAGAAGATGAATCCCTGCAGTCACGAAAGCTTTAAATCGAAATTCAGGCTGTTGTTCTTTAACACTGCTGCAGTCGAAAACATATCTCGTCATGGTGGTTGTCAAGGTGGGGGGAGGGGGGGGGGGGTCAGGGCACCCCCTGGCCCCACACTCGTTACGCTACTGGTGGCGAGGTTTGGTCTGGGGTGGTGAGAGTATGGCAACTGGGGTGGTGAGAGTATGGCAACGTGGGTGGTGAGGTGACCATGGTGAGGCGTGGTGAGGCGTGGAGCGGCGATGATTGCGAGTACGTGCAGGGAGGGGTGGGTGTGAGTCTGTGCCCGCGTGGTCGATGGGTGGCGGAGGCGTGCGGAGTTCGCGTGTTCGCAGCGCGTGTGCTTCGAGTGACAATAACCGAGCCAAGTCGCAGGCAGACGTAAACACGCGGTCTGTAATATAATACAATTAGGAAAATCTGAACCTCTCTCTCTCTCTTTGCTCCTGGCAATTAAAAGCCTCCGCACGGCGGTCGCAGACAACATTTATCTTTTGGGTGACGTTCGCTTATTTATTATTCATCATTAATTTGTATGCAGAGGCACCGCCGCCAAGCGGAACCTTTGCATTTCACTCCGAGAAGAAGTCGAAGTGAGCAGCAGGAGACGGCGAAATTTTCTGGCTTTCTCTCTCTCTCTCCCCCCACACTCTCTCCCTCGCCCCACCTCCCTCTCTCCCTCTCGAACAAAAGTACGAGCGAAAAAGCGAGCAACAGAGATGACGGGATTTTTCCCGTGGGCTTCACTCGCGAGTAGACCCCCCCACACCCACACGAGCCGACCACGCGCCCCCTCGGAGCCGCAATCCCTCTTGGAGCCACAAGGCCGCTCCGCATCGCGAGCCCCCTCGGAACAGAGAGCCCCCCTCGGAGCCACGAAACCCCTGGGAGCCGCGAGCCTCAACGGCAAATTTAAAAGCACGACGTCGCGGCACGGCGATAGCTGGCTCAATGTGTGTGGTGATTAAGAGTCCTTGTCTCCCGTCCGATTGATTTTAAATTCTTCTTTCCGGCCAGTTAACTTTTTTGCCGAACGGCGAAATATTGCGATTGCTGCGCACGCTATCCATCCACCACCCCCCCCACCCCCCCAAAAAAAATCGCGACGATTTTCCGTTTTTGTTTCACCTCCCACCCTCCTCCCTCCCAACCCCACACAGCTGCTGGTCTTTCTGATGTATTGATTGAGCCATTGCGGGACTAGGGGATTTTCATGGTGGCGGCGGCGGCGATGTTGGTGGATGGGGTGGCAATAATATTGGCAGTTATTAAAAAAAAATGTTTTACAGGGTTTCATTTGTTTACATTAAACAGTGCGCTTTGGCAGCAGCGTCAGCCACCGGAGGGTAAACGGCCGTATGGAAATCTCAGCCCTACCGGCGAAGGAAGTCTGAAAAATCTGCCGCGCCGCACACTAATTTCAGTGGCAATTAAGCCTCCTTTTACAGTTTACAGACCCGCGCAGCAGGAAAGATTAATTTAACAAATAGAGATGCCACCGCAAATAAAAATCCGCCCAGCAAACGCGCGCTTAATTGCATAATTACGCCGCTAAAGTGACTTTTCTTGTTTTGCTACTAATTGCTCACGTTTTTTATTTTTTGTTGCGTTTTTTTTTGCCGACCACCACCCATGCACCCCCCCCCCCACCTCGTCGCTTCCTCTGCCCCCCCCCCGCCCACCACCCTCTCCACCCCACTGCGTACGAATTGGCTAAATGTGCACGGTTGATTCTGTTTGAGATGATGCAGCCGTGGCATCATGGCCAGCGCACTGGGATTGCGACGACGGATTTGGCGACACCTTTCGTCCAGCGGTGGATAGATCACGGCCGACCGACAACGACGGCTGCAATCGTGAAGATACTCATCATTATCAATCCCGCACCACCGATTAGCACGGTTGGCTACGTACAGCGCGAAAGAAGTTCAACACACATACATAGCAGCCACGATCTATGTGTCCATGATCCTGATGCCGAACTGGACTTGCAATCCCAGAGATTCTGTCTCACGCCGCAGTACTTGAATCGCCGGTGCAAGTGTTTTTGTTCGTGTCGTTGTTGGAAGTCCCCCGCACCTCTGTCCACCCATCAGTATACACGTGGATTCACCACAGTTGTTGCACCGATGGGCAGGTCAGGCGTGGCTGGGAAAAGTGTGAGTCACCCGCACAGCTTGCAAGAGGTGAGGCCAACGTGGACAAGTAGGAAAAAACACGCTCTAGAGAGGCTCTCTTGCGTAGACCCGTCCACCGTCAGCGGCGTAAGACATTGCAGGGATGCGCCTTTAGCTATTTATGAATGCATTGCTCGGTGCGCCATTGTAACACCTCCTTCGTCTGGTACGCAGGAGGTCGTCGGTTCCATTCGGGACCCTGACGATGTCTGTTGTTGTATAATTGGAGTCCGCGTGTTCTCTCACTTCCCGTGGTGGTCTCGTGGATTTTTCTCCTCCGGCTCGCCACCACCCCCTCCCCCGCCCACACATTAAGAAACAACGTGCGGTTAGATTATGTGTCTGCTACTATACATTTCCACGCGTTATGATCGTTATATATCAGCCATTTCCATGTCGCCTATGAAAACAAAAGAGTCAACTCAGTGGGCTTTACCTGTTAACTAAAGTAGTTCGTTCTGTAGGTCGTGCCAAGTTCTCACGAGAACAAATCTCCCCTCCCCCCACCGCCCCCCCCCCCGTCAAATTTAATGTGGCAGGAAAAACATTTTCTCATTTTACTTTGAACATAAACGAGTTTATTTAGTAATACTCTTGTGATTATTGAACGATTTGTCTCTTACTCAATTGCTACTATTAGTGTAACTATTCGTGCACAGAGTAATTGAAAAATAATAACTGGTGATCATAAAATGTTTTCGAATGTAATTCTCGATCAGGCCTCACGGTGTTATCAAGTGCAGTCTCCACCTCGTTATTAATGATCCACTCCGTCTCTGTGGCATTGCTGTTCATGAGCTACGAAGAAGGGCCATGGCCTGAAACGTCACCAATTACACGTAGGTATTTTGTTCCAAGGCCACGTAGCGTTATTGATGATTGTGGTGCATTTTTAGTTTTGCTTTCGTGAATTTGTGGTGCTTGAGCCCAGCAGTTCTCGAGGTTTGAGGCAATGCTGCTGCCCATTGTCATCGTCGTGTTGTCCTTAGCTGCCTGATTTGATGTATCCTCGAATAAATCGTGTTAAATTAGTTGCTAAATAATTTTCCGCCTCCCCACTGAGATGTTTTCCTTCGGAGTGCTTCTCTAAAGTTTAGTTTCAGCTTCGTGGTTTTAAATTTACGATGCAATTTTAATATCGTCGGGGAATTTACATTTTTTGTTTGTGGGTTTAATTTGTTTGCGTGGTTTGAAGCATTGGGCCCTGCGATTTTCGGCATTTCGGCGGAGCTGTTTGCATGAACGATGCTGCATATGAAAGTGAACTCCCGCATTGTTATTCTTTGGGTCTTTCGGTAAAGTCACGTAGATAAGTTCAATTTATTAACAATAAAATAAAAAAAACTACGACGTTTCAATCACAACGCAAGCAATCGTCATCATTCTATTATTATTTATTTGAATATGAATTCCTGCAGTCACGAAAGCTTTAAGTCAAGATCCTGTATTGTTGTTATTATTATGCATGTCCTGAGAGTTTGCCAGGCTGAAGTGGGCTGGTTATTGGGGGCTGCTGGC